GCGCAGCGGGGCGTGGGGCGCGGCAGCGGCGGCCGCGGCGTCGGGGGCGGCGCCGGCGGCGGTGGCCAGGCGCGCATGGTGCTCAGCAGCCTGAGCATGCCGCTGGGCGGCGCGCGGCGCGTGGCGGCGGCGCTGGAGGGCATCCCCAGCGCGGCTGTCGTGGAGGACGGGGAGGGCGGCGGTGAGTCGATGTGGTGTCTGCGTGTGTGCGTGTGCGTGTGTGTGTGTGTGTGTGTGTGTTTGGGAGGGAAAGGGGTAACGGCGCAGGGAGAAAAGGACACTCTGGCGGGGCCACGTGCCATGCGCTTGCGATGGCATGCACAATGACAGAGGCCCGTATGGCGGTTGGCCCTGGTTACTTCTTTCCTGTGTCAGCCTCCTTTCCAGCACAGCCCTCGCACACCGCCCCCCCCCCCCCCCAAACCACCTGTTGCTCTACATGCACACACCCCACCCGGTGCGGCGCCCCAGGCCCCGGCCAGGAGTGGGACCTGACGCTGCAGCAGCAGCGCATCGTGGGGGACCTGCTGCGGCTGAGGCAGCTGGTGCACAAGGCGGTCAGCAAGATGGACCAGAGGTGGGGGGGAGAGGGGGGGAAGGCGGGGCATCGAGGGTGTAAGCGGGACATGAGCTGGCAGCTGGGGGGATGCGTGCAAGCCGCTTGGAAGCATTGGTCGGCCGTGGGGATGGGCGTGGCAGCAGGGAGGGCATGAAGGTGGCAGGGACACTCTACATGAATAGCGTATAGAGAGTCCAGGCACGCTCACATACGCACGCGCGCACACAGAGACACAGACCTGCGCACACACGCTCAAAACACACATTCTTGCACACACGCTCGCATACTCACGCACACACATACACGCACAAACTCACACACACACCACTCCCACCACCGCAGCCAGCTGGAGGCGCTGCTGTACGCCGCCGGAAGCGGCGAGGCCGAGGCTGTGCAGGCGCTGCTGCGCCAGGGCATGAGCCCAGACAGCGCCAACGCGGAGGGCACCACGCCGCTCATACTGGCGGCCAGCAAGGGGCACAACGTGCGCGCTCCAGGGGGGGGGGAGACGACGGGGGGGACGTACGGGATGCAAGGGAGGGGAGGGATCTGGGACCCGCAAAAACGCTATCAGGGCATTGCGGCTGCCAGGGACCCCGCACTCAAATTGCACGGGCCTGGCTGTCGCTTTGATGTCAGGAACCTCGACAAGCCGCCTCGGAAGGCGGCGGCTGGGTGTCGTCTCCGCCTCTTGCTCCACTGCTCTGTCTCCGCGGAAGGGCTCCTTGCCGCCCCTGCCGCGCACCCCCATCAAGGCTCTCCCACCAAACCAGACATCAGCACTCCGCAGATCCATCAACCGAACCCACTCAACCCCACCCATCCCACTCCAACCCAACCAAACCCACCCTCACCAAACTGGGTTCACTGGTGGCAAGGGGGGGTGGGGGATTTCAAAGGGGATGTGGAGGAGCCACACCCGACGGCGCCGTGTTGGGGAGGGGGGCGCTAGGCGCGCAGGCGGCTGCTGCTTGGGCGGGGCCGCGCGGCGGTGGAGGCGCGGGGGTGGGGGGGCCAGAGATCGTGGATGGCCAATCATACTTAGTGCGGGGTCTTTGGCCGGTTTGGCCCATTTTCATGGGTGAATCCTGGTTTTGCAGATACTATCATAGCAAGCATCACATCAAAGCAGTCAAAGCAAAATGGGAGCATCACTGGAAAAATGACAGGTTTGAATTTTAAATATTCAGAAAGTGTGACCTTCCCAGCAGCACAGGCTGACTCACCATAGCTCAGTTGGCAGAGCGCAAGGATTAGACAACTGCATTGTTCGCCAACGCAAACGCAACCTTGAGGTCCCTGGTTCGAACCCAGGTGGTGAGTTGTTTGATCAAACCCCCACCCCCACTGTCAAGGGTCATTTTTTCAATCCAAAACCATTCTTGATGGGTCAGCCACAACTGCAACGTACCCAGTCAGACACCCAACAAGTCGCGCCCGCCCCTTCAAGGACTCCTCACCCTGCCCTGCCTCCAACGCGGCGCCCACCCCCCAGGATTCAACATTCAACTCCTTATTGACCAGCCCCGACCGGCGCTGCAACCCAACGCAACCCACCCCACCCCTCATCCACCCCCACCCTCCCCAGGATGTCGTGTTGGCACTGCTCTTCAACGGCGCAGACCCCTCAAAACGCGATGCGGGGGGCCGCAGCCCCCTGCTGCTCGCGTGCCAGGTGCGCGGCGCCCAGGGGCGCGCGGTGTCATCTTTGGGGAGAGAGGGGTTACGAGGCGATTTGCGGCTTGCTCGTGGACTTCTTTCAATTCAGATACTAAATGCGTGCGCGCGCGCTCGCTCGCGAGCGCACACACACACACACACACACACACACACACACACACACACACACACACACACACACACACACACACACACACAGGGTAACCACCCGGGTGTTGTGGACATTCTGCTGCGCCATGGAGCCAAGCTGGGCATGGAGCCCGTCATGCTGGTGGGCCTGAGGGGCCTGTCAGCTAGGGGATCGGCATGGCGGTGACGGCATAAAACGCATTTCACCTGTTGCAACCGAACACGCGTGTTCATGGCTGTGGTGGGAAGCCGCCCAACCCGGCGTTGCAGGCGCCGGCCGCCAGGCCCCGCTTGCCAAAGCCCCATGTCGCAACAGCCGTCGCAACGCGCCGCTCACCTGCGCCCCTCTCCTGCGTCTGCCCTCGCCTCCCTCCCTCCCCTTGTTGCCTCCGCCTCGTCGCGCCACTGCGCCGCGCCTCCCTGCACCCCCAAAGGCCGCCTACCTGTGTAAGGTGCGGCACGCCCACGGCCGCCCCTCCGCCAACACCACGGGCGCTAAACCTCTGGCCTGCAACCCTGGGCAGAGCCCACTCCTGTCCTTGCGTCGCACCGACGCGCCCGGCCGCGCCCCTGAGCGCGGCCGCCCTGGTGGCCGCATGTGTGTGTGCACGTGCATGCTGATGCGGCTCCGCTCTAGCGGACCCCGACACAGCGGTCAGCCGTATCAGCCACGGCTACGCTGCCGTAATCCCCGTCCGCGAGCTGCCCTGCCACCCGAGTCACCGCCGGCGTCGTCGCTGCTGCCTCCGCTCCTCCCCCCCCCCCATCCCGCCCATCATCCCCCCCATACCACGGCCCCCTCATACACCCACCACCCCTCATGCACCCATCCCTCCCCCCCCCAGATCGTGTTTGAGGGCAAGATTGATGAGCTGCGGCGCGTGCTGCGCGCGCGCGCCGACCCCAACGCTGTCGACTACGACAAGCAGTCGCCGCTGCACATTGCGGCGGCGGAGGGCAACCTGCCCGCGGTGCGCACAAACAAGCGGCGGGGCCCGGCTGCGACCCTGCTGCGCCTGGCGTGTTGTGTCTCTGCTGCGGGGTGGCTGGCGCGCTTATGGGGTCGGGAGGAAGCACGTCTGTTGATTACCCAATGAACGGGGGCTCTGTGGTTGGACCCCGTGCAAACTCGCCACCCCTGCGAACTGCCAAGATGCAACCATGGGCACCTGCACATGTGCACGCGCGCACGCGCGCGCACACACACACACACACACACACACACACACACACACACACACAAACACACGCACACATCCACACACGTGCACCCTTCCCAGGCGCGTGTTTTGGTGGAGCAGGGCCGTGCCAGCCTGCTGCTGGCGGACAGGTGGGGCCGCACACCACTGGACACGGCGCTCAAGGCCGGCGCGGCGCAGGTGCGGGCGCGCGCGGCTGGGGCGGCGCGACCACCCACAGCAGCTGCTGATCCCCCCAAGCC